ATATATATATATATATATATATATATATATATACACATACATACAAATATAAATTTGCATACATATAATATATGTGGGGATGTGTGGGTGTGGGTTTGTGTGCATGTGTGTGTATGGATGGATGATAGATGGATGCATGTGTGGATGGATGGATAGATGGATGCATGTATGGATGTATGTATGGAAGGATGGATGGATGGATAGATGGATGGATGGATGGATGGATGGATGGATGGATGGATGGATGGATGGATGGATGGATGGATATGTGTGTGTATGTATGTTTTTTAGTATTTGTATTTTTTCTTTTATTATTGTTTCGATGACAATACTTTGTTTACACCCATTTTGTGATGATCAGCAGTAGCATTTGATACTGTACATACTGCTGGTCTGTGTAAAGTTTTAATTTGAAGTATTTGTAACATATTTTTCAATATGTATGAGGCAATCAGCTATGAGAAAAAATAAGCAATAATCCAAACAACGGGTTTTTCATTGTAAGGATTTATATCTGACTTCACCAGATTAACCAGTGGGTGAGATTTTAAAACATGTTTTTCTTTCTGATACATCGAGTTGGACGCTACTTCATGTTGGGCTGCAATCAAGGGTGGGCCAACCTTCCATGCAACATGAATCCTGCCCTGCTTTCATTAGGCAACGCTTTATGACACTGCAGCAGATGGTGAACGCACTTACATCCTTTGACACACTAGCACTCCAGCTCCCATGAGAAGCAATCTCACCTCCTCTCTCAACTTTTTTCTCCAAATTTTCACCCCCGCTATCCTTCCTTTTCCTCCTCACACCAGGCAAACAAAACAAGCTGCACCCATTTAGAAATAATTAAAATTGGCCAAATTTCCATCAGAATTTCTGTGTAAGCATTTTTACTGGTAATTGTGTTGCCTACAGCAGAGTTCTTGATGTGTGGGTTGGTCTGGGAGGAATTATACACATTTTAAATATGCCTTAAGTACTGTATCTGCTTAGCTCGCATCTGAAGTATCTGCTGAGAGCTGCTGCCACGCAGGTCAAGAAAAAAACACAACCCACGCAGGATGCTATATATGTTTGTGGAACAGGAAGCCATTTACATATGCATGATCTCTGAAACATGTTTACAGCTTTTGTTCTGATGATTAACAGAAAGCGCACACAACCTGAAGGCATTTTTCTGCACAAAAAAAATGCAGCATTTAATCAACATCAACAGTTTTTGTCACAGCGTATGCATGCAATTTGCACAGCCTCACTGTGGTTAATGGTTCAATTATACATTTCTGGATTGCATCCTCTCTTTTCCAAACAGAGCAGAAAAATGATCTCGCTCATGCTCTCTGGCTCTGGACGGTGAGGGTACGATGCATTTCTGCATCTGCCGGTGATAAACATCAAGGTTTAAGGTCAACAGTGGGACGTGCCGTGTCCAAAGACAGGAGGATTGCTCCCACCCTGATTTACAGCTAAACACACACACACACACACACAATCACAGCCACCACACACAGAGTCCTTAAAGATCTTAAACAATAGCATGTCTGCAGTAATTGATGTGGCTGCTCACACTTACGGTAAATGTGTAAGAAAACACACAAGAAACACACGTGTCATGTGTCAGCAACAGGAAAAACAAAGACTGGCATGGAGAACAGACAGGGGTAAATACCATCACCTATTATAGACATAGCCAGTGGTGCACACACATACACTTACAGTTCAAACAGGGGGCAGGGGGCCTGGTGTGTGCACAATAAACCATCAATAAACTTCATTTGTTCGATGCAAAATATCCCTAACAGCAAACCTGCAGCCTGTCCAAAGAATAAATCACAAACACACACACATCATGACATCTGCAGCTTCTCGCTTCCCCGTCTGAGTCATTTTCAGCACTTCAAAATATCCATCCCTACCTTTGTGGAAGCTCACTTGCTTGGACTGCATGGAGAAGGTTCCCATCACGAGACCCATGTTGACTTCTGCTCCTGCCAGGAAGGTTGTGAGTGTGTCTGCGAGCCTATAATTAAGTTGTGCCAGTGAGTGTGCGCACAGTAGGTGTGTGTCACTTGTGATTAAGTTAGTCCATCAGCTGGCTGCATGTGTGGAAGCACGGATATCACTTCTCATGCCGCCTCACACCCACACAGCTCGGCTGAATCTGCTCGAGGGTGTGTGTGTGTGTATGAATGAAACGAACAACAGACGTGCACTCTGATGCTGTCTTTGTCTACGCTGTCACTGACGCTGGCTGTTTCACATGCCTTTACATACTCCCCCCAGTGTCATTTCATCAATTCCTCTGCGCCTCTTTATGTTTTTGCTCCCTCTTCCTCGCCTGCTCATCTCAGTAGTTTTCTCGCTCTCTCGCTCTCTCTCCCTCGCTCTCTCTCTCTCTCTCTCTCTCTGTCTGGTGGGGAACGAGGGATTGCACACTGTTGCTCAGGGAATAACGGAGACGGAAAGAAGGGAGGAGGGAAATAACTGAGTGGAAAAAGGGCTAGAGGAGGAATGGGGAGATGATGATAGGGTGGAGAGAACAGAAAGAGGACAGCTAAAAAAACGCACACAAAAAAAAAACAAAGGAAAGCAGGATGAGAGCAAGAGATGGACCAGAGATGAAGAGAGCAAGAGGTGAATGGAGATAAAGGAGAGCCAGACTGATGTGTCCCCTTCTTTGCTATTCAGCAGGCAAACCGTCTGGCTGTGGAGAGTGTTTGTGCAGCTTTATCTGCACAAGTCTGACAGGTGGTCTGTGTGTGGCAGTGCATGAGAAATTATTCCACCAGAGGGTGGGTCACCACCCATACCCTACACATCTGACACCAACATGCTTCCACAAACATCCCAGGGTTTACAGCCACATGCTGCATCAGACATGCTTTTATTCCAGTAGGAGCTCACTCCAACTCCCAATGCACCACACACACCGCAGCTTTGTCATGGTCTTTTAGCATCAGATAATAACTGGGAGTATTATTTTTCTTCATGTTGCATTTTAAACACGCTGACGTAAGCTTCTCTTACACAACTCATAATCTTTTTCCATTTGGAAATAACTATAATATGTATACATTTATTTTTGCTTTCAGCTGCTCCCTTCTTTAGAAGCAGTGAACTAAGTTATATGAAGACTTGGTAATTATTTTTACGCCGGATGCCCTTCCTGATGCAACCACAGACCACCGAGCTACCACAGCCCTCTGTGTGGAGCAGGGAGCTGCCAACTAGGGCGCCCGGTGGAGCAGATGGAGGGGGTTAAAGACCTTGCTCAAGGACCTGGAGTGAAGCAAATGAGAGTGGAGGCAGGTGTGGGTCTTTCACCTTTCCCACCCACATTTTGATGGTGTCTGTACCGGGAGTTGAACAGGCGATCTTCCCATCAGAGGCTCACCTTCTCTAACCTCTATGCCACCACTCCCATAATATATATAATAATATATGAATATCTTATTCATATAAAAAGCAGACATTTCTACAATTAAACTAAAACATTCGAGCCGTGACACATCAAAACACAAACGAATTGTTAATCGTCTTTCTTGGGTGAAAATTTATATCAAACCAAGAAGTGACTAAAAGGGAAAGTGGAAAAGATACACAAGACTGGAGATGGGTTATCCACTGCGAAACCAAGTAAAAAAAAAAATTAAAAACAAGACAACACTGGAAGTAAAGTCTGGACCTCATAGATATTTTCTATATCTTAGGAACTCTGAGACAAACCGAGAAGGAGAACAATTAAAATATTCCTGCAAAAACCAGACTTGGACATGGTTTCATGAGTGTTTTATTTAATCCTCATAAACTGTAATCTAAGGGGCTTGACAGCAAATTTTACACCAGTTGAACAGCAGATTTGTTTTGGTTGGGTTGAACGAAACTGATTTGAAAAACAGTAGGGGTGTTCTAGTCTGGTTTGACTTGGTGTTTAAAATGTTCCTAAATCGTCACAGTTGGGTCAGACACTCTTTATTGGATATTAGAAGCTCACCGTGCGCAAATGCTAACAAAACAACTTTCATAAAGAACAGTTTCTCTTCTTTTTCAGAAATATCAAAATATATAGCTGTGATAGCAATATCTTATTTAATTATCTGCTTCCTGGGACATCCAATATTAATTTACCATATAAATAACTTTTATACCGTCTTTTCCACCATACATGTCGCACCAACCTATAAGTCGCATCAGTCCAAATATGTTTAATAAAGTGGAAAAATCCATAAATATGTTGCTTCACCATATAAGTCACATCTATTATGTGTCACCGCTGACAACTCGCAAATATGGGCCAGTGTTGTGCCAAAAATCAATGGGCTGCCAAATGGTGGCCGCGGGAGCGTGCACAGGAGGACTTTAAAAAGAATCTAACAAGATTAACACTTAAAAACAATTATTTGTTTGCTTGAAATTATAGCAAAGGTGTGTCTCAGTCTGACGTTGCCTTAATAAATGTACTTTAACGGTTTAATCAGCTGCATTTTCAAAAGCCGATATGCAGAAGTAGGCATGTGCACGGGAGGACTCGCTGTGCATTTCTTCAAAATTTAACAAGATAACCACCTAAAAACAATTATTTGTTTGCTTGAAATTATAGTAAGTGTGTCTCAGTTTAACTTTTCCTTAATAAATGCACTTTGATGGTCAGATTAGCAGCATTTTCAAAAGTATTCGCTGCCTCGGTGCTACGGGAGCGCGCACTGAGGGAGGAAATCAGGAAGGAGGAACCCTGCGCATTTCTTCGAAATTTAACAAGATAAGCACCTAAAACAATTCTTTGTTTGCTCGACATTGTAGTAAAGGTGTGTCTCAGCTGAACTTTTACTTAATAAATGCACTTTAGTGGTCAGATTAGCAGCATTTTGTTGGGGCGGCACAGCGAAATGATGCTGATTTTTCTCCAGGCGAGCTGGATGAACGTGGTAGCTGTGGCAAGCCGACTGTGTCATTAATAGCCACGCTTACCTATTACATGACATAGCGGCATGCCATACTACTCGAGTGTCATCTAGCGGCTGAAAATGGTAGAGTTCAATATTTTCAGTCAGAATGAATGAAAATGGTCATATCTCAGCCAAATCTTGGTTTATAAATATGGGGAAAAAATCCATAAATACGTCACTTGGGCATATAGGTCGCAGGGCATGCAAATTATGAAAAAAAAACTGTGAGTTATAGGCTGAAAATTACGGTAATCATTTTATTACTGTAGGGTCATTGTGAATAAAATTACTGTTAAATAGTATTATAATGCTTGGTATTACTGTCTAAATCAGGTGTCAGTGGACAGCTGGTGCTTATCACCCCCTCTATAAGAAACCTTGAAAATATTTTATTTTCTGTGAGGCTGTTAGCCACCTGGGGTCGGTTTTGAAAAACACTGAGACAAGAGGATAAGGAGGGGCACGCCCTTGATGAGTTTCTACAAAATAAACTTTTTCATTCCAGGAAACCAGAATGGGTCAGTAACTCAGACAAGACAAGAAATTAATAAGTTCTGTACTTGTGATGCATTGACTTTCTTTAAATCTGACTGTTCTCCAAAGTTTTGTAATAAACTTGATGAAATCTACACCTGATCGTTTGTGAACCGTTTCTTTTTTCTACGACAATTGCCAGGAGGGAAAAAGAAAACATATCTAGAGAAGTTTTAAAAAAATTATCCTCAGCACCATTACTTCTTTTCCAATAAGTCTTGGACTAAACTGTCTCGGGAGGTCTGCTGCTTGAAATGAATAATACAGACTCTGATCTCAGGAGGAATTGAAAATGAGCTGCCAGAAGAGGAGAATAAATAATTTACAATCACCTTTAAAGAAGCTAACAGATCTTAGGGTCTGAGAGTTAAACACATCACAAGTCAAAGTGATTGTTTGGCTCGTTTGAAGTGGAGTCCAGCAGAATGATCATGAACAATCATCATCTTACCTGTTGTAGATAACTGTTTGAAATAGGTCAGTTTGAAAACACAGTTCAACTCTGACCAGGTTGATGAGCTAATGGCTAGTCCCAGTGTGTGCCATCTTAAAACAATTTTAAAAAACATCCTAATTATTCATAAAAACTCTGTTTGGATTCAAATTTGCCTTGCATGATTATTTATAGAAACTCATACAGATGTTTCTTCCATCCATCCATTTTCTGTCTGTTTTTATGACCAGGTTGCAAAAACAACAGGTCTGGGTTGCCCTCATGGGTCTGTTGCCTTTGCAACTCTCTTCAGCTCATCCGTGGGGGCTCCCAAGGTGTTCCCAGGCCAAAGATACATGACCCTTCCAGCAAGTTCTAGGTCTGCCTCAGCGTCTCCTTCCCAGTGAGATGTGCTCAGAAAACCTTCTAGAAGGAGGCTTCTAGGAGACGACCCAGTCCATCGATGCACCTCCCTTCTCCCACTCCACCATCACTTCTGAACAAAACTCCCAGACACCTGAACTCCTCTGCTTAAGACAAAAAATTACCCCCAACCCATGAGGAAGCAGTCTACCTTGTTGCTGTTTTTATTGCTTCTTTACAAGCACAAATAGCAGCATCAACTATACCTAAAGTACTTTTGTTGAGGATACCATATTATTTCTGCTGTAGTACCTGTGTAATAAAAACTGAGCTCAGTGAAACAATTTCTCAAACAGCAGTCACAGAAAATGCAATAATATTTTAAAGATTTTAACAGCAGGAACCCACTGTCATGGGATCATATGCCTTAATTGAACTATTTCTCCAAATTGAGGTCTTTCAAAGAGCTATATACAACAGATAAGGTAGTCACTGTTCATACCTTTTCCACTAAACCTTCCTTAGACAGATCTGAACCATTCAGTGAGTCCATCAGACATGCCGACTGTCGCAGCTCTGTGAACAGTCAGGCCACGTCTCTAACCCAGCACCCAGATCAGCTGCAGAACATATTTCAATTCACTTTCTATCATAGTTTATAACAAGAAATCTACAGCCAATCAGATTAATAAAATGCCACTTGTTCACCTTTTCAAATGAATAGGAGCAGCCAATATTGATTTTCATCACCCTTTCAGCCTTTCCTAGCTGCCAGCGGAGGACACAGATTGATGTGAGCTCACAATTACCTGATCTAAATTCAAGAGTTAAACCCAGAGAAACCACCGAAGGCATTCAAACCCCTCTGCAGCGTGCAGCCTGTCATTCCTCACAAACAGACCAACAACAATCCACAGGGCAATGTTGCCACCCTGCAACAATTCAATTCAATTCAATTCAAATTCAAAAATACTTTATTAATCCCAGAGGGAAATTATATAACATTACACAACACAGTCCACTTCACGTGTGCCTG